TGGTGGTGGTGGTGGTGGTTTTGGTGGTGGTGGAGGTGGTGATGGTGGTGGTAGAGGAGGAGGTGGTGGTGATGGTGGATAGGTCACTTCAAGTCGGTTCCATTGTAGTGACCCTTTGTAAGTAGAAGGCAACCCTGTCTGGCCCTGTGCCCTCCTCCCAATTGTTGTTGTGTTTGAACCCACTATTGCAGCCACCATGTCAGTTCACCTTGCCCAGAGTTTTGCTCTTTTCCCCCTGTCCCTCTACTTTACCAAATAAGATATCCTTCTCGGGGACTGGTCTCTCCAGGATAAATATCCAAAGTGCCTGGAACAAGTCTCACCATCCTTGCTGCTAAGGAGGCCTCTGGCTGTACTTCTCCCAAGACAGATCTTGTTTGTTTATTTGGGAGTCCATGGTACTATCAATATTTTTCACCAGCACCATAATTCAAATGCATTTCTTATTCTTCAGTCTTCGTTATTCAATTCAACTTTTGCATTCATATGAGGCACCTTAGTCCTCAAAGTAACATATTTGCTTTTCAGCACTTGAAAGAGGTCTTGTGCAGTGTATTTAGCCAATGCAAAGTTTTGTTTGATCTCTTGACTGCTACTTCCATGACCAATGATTGTGGATGTTCAAGATAGGTCTTGAAATGTCCTTTTTAGCAATGAATATAATGCCATTCCTCTTGATTGTCTCATTCCCATCACAGTAGCCATAATTTTCGGATTAAAAATGGCCAGTATTAGTTCATTTCAGCTCCCTAATGGCTAGAATGCCAGTATTTATGCTTTCCATTTCATTGTTCACAACTTCCGGTTTTCCTAGATTCATACTTCATACATTTCATGTTTCAATTATTGATCGATGTCTGCAGCCATTTCTTCTCATTTTGAGCCATGCCCCATCAGCAAATGAAGGTCTCAAAGGCTTTACTCCACCCACGTGACTGTGGTCCACCCGACTTTAAGAAGGCAGCTCCTCCTCATTCACATTGTGAGTCTCCTCCAACCGAGGGGCTCATCTTCTGGCACGATTTCTGATAATATTCTGCCTCTTTTCCGGGGGTTTTCCATGTCTGATAACATTTGGATGTTATCCATGAAGGTTTCAGTGGCTAATTCCTCTGAAGTGAACAGTGTGTTGTTTTTTTCCCCTTTGTAGTCTGTTAAGAGGCATCTTGAAAGAAACGCCTGGTTTAAAAAAAAAGATCAACTATTGAAAACGATACAGAACACAGATTGACTCTTAACACACATGGAGTTACCATAAGTGGGAATTCAATGGACAATAACTGTAAAAACAAAAAAAACTAGAAAACAATATAACTGCCATGTTTTCTTAAATTTAAATATCTCATTCCTCTCTAGTGGATGAGCTCTCATTCACTGCCTAAGGGACAGGAACCCACTGGCCTTACTTTTGTGTTTGACATGCATGTCCTTTCTCTTTCACTGGAGATGATGTTGCTTAGTCATTTGGGTGACTGCTCGCTCTCTCTCTCTCTCTTGCACACACACACACACACACACACACACACACACACGACAGGGAAAAGAAACCCACCAATATATAGGTTCAAGACTAAGTTTAGGAGTAGAGTTCTACATAATATTAGAGTTCATGTAAGTCTCGGGTTTTGCAAAGTGAGAGTGTGAACTATTTTTCCCCCTAAAACTGATTGGTATCCCCACTGCATCTTTTGCAAACTGCAAGTATTAAGACCAGATTTTAGTAGGGAATAAATCTATTGAAATAATTAGCAAGCAATATATACCAGAAAGGATGGAATTTGGGTTAGGTTGCCTTTTGTATAAGCTATGTATATTTTCTTTTCCATTAGTGTGGCTAATTAGAATAGGAATTACTTGGCTATTTTTTTAAAAACACTATTAAAGACCAGGTCTTTCCTTATTACTTATCTCCCCGCCCCCTCCCTTTCTTTCTTTTTCAGGCAGCATCATAAACCAGGAGCACCAAGGGATTCTTGACTACTGTATTCCTAGTGATGAAATTAGCTGGGGAAAGGTAATTATGGAATAATACCTTCTAACATTAGGAGTTAATGGAGGGTGGCTAAGATCTCTGTGATTGAAGCATGTGGAAAGGGAACCTAACATTGAGGAAGGAATTAAACCTTTGGGTTGCTTTTAGAAAGTCTCTGTACTTTAATTGATTGAGACTTCTGCCCCTGAATTGAATTAATATCCCATGCTCACTGAGAGAATGAGAGTGAGGAAATGCCTTCTCTCTGTTTTTATTCATCTTTTCCTTCTACTTCCTCTTTCTGTATCTTTTTGTTTCTAAGACTAAACCTGGCAGAAGTTGGGGGGACAGTGGAGTGAGAAAAGGTTTCATCTAGGACTATTGCAATAGTAATTCCACTATTTTTTTTCTCCTGTTAAAGGTATTTTGTATCTTCGAAGATGCTAAATTGCTGTTTAATTTAGAAGACTATTCCATCAGTCAGATAAAACTGGAACAAATCTTCCTCACCTTTGCTAATATTGATAAAACAGAAAATTACCAGAAAATAAAGCATCTATGAGATTCAGTTCCAACCACTGATGTTTATGTCTTTCTTTGTCTGCTGCTCATACATAGATGCACTAACGAACATTTCTTTCTGTATGTAGATCTGTGTTGTGTGTATTTGACTCATTATTTATGGTCATTATCTTCTCTATAAAAATAGAAATCATTGTCATTGAATCAATTCTGACTCTTGGTGAGCCCCTGTGTTACAGAGAACTGCTCTAAAGGATTTTCTTTACAGAAGCAGAAGCAGTCCTTTCTTCCACATTGCCACTAGGTGAGTTTGAACCACTAACTTTCAGGTTAATAGTGAAACGCAAACTGCTTTGACATCTCAGAAGCCTTCCAAAACACCTCCCAACACACACACACACACACACACACACACACACACACACACACACGAAATGGTGAGCCTTGCTCAACTTCAGATCCCAGCAGAAAAATGTTACCACTCTTGCATGAGAATCCCTGGTGGCATACTGGATTACATAGTGGACTGCTACCCACAGAGGAGCAGTTCAAAACCACCAGCCCCTCTGTGGGAGAATGATGAGGCTTTCTAGTCCTGTAAAGATTTACAGTCTCAGACACCCATGGATGAGTGTGCATGTGTGCAAATGACAGCAAAAGCACCACCAAAGCTTTCAGCAAACAGGTAGATTTGTGAATATTAAATCCATGACTATAGTCTCCAAAGAAGAAATCCTATTGTCTTATGAGGAGATTAAAGGAAGTGGCTTGTTGTAAAGAACTGTGAAGAGTTTGAGATTTTACACTTTGTAAATCGACAAATTAGCCTGCCACAGTGTCATGGCTGTTGCATAATCCTGGGTCAGAGACAAGGGGATTTTATTACTCACAGCAATAGTCAGATTATCATAGTTTGTGCCATTTCTATGGGTCCATATGCTCATAGAGCAACACAAAAAGAGTCAGGTAATGGTATATACATTTCAGGAGAGGAACCCTGGACTTCTGTACCCCTGATTTTTTAGAGTGTCAGTAAACGAGCCTGTAAGATGGTTGCTCTGAAAGGAAACAGTGTCTTATATGTACCCGGGTCCACTACCTCTCTTCACAGGCTATTTTTATGATGGTCAAACTTGCAAAAATAATCCATGGAATAAAAGATAAATTAGTACGACTGTTTGAAAGTCATCAAGAGAGCCAGGAAGAATTGTCTCCAATAATATCTACTGTTATGGCCACACCATCTTGGCTTCTGCCAATCTTCTTCTGAGTATGTCACTTGATTGGCTACTCTGAGTAATCTGACAGAAGCTGGAACTAAATTGATGAAATTTCATCTAATTTGTCTCATACAGTTTTTCATTAAGGCTATTAACAATAGAACTCCAAACACAGGAAGAAGTTAACCTAAAATAATAGACCTCAGCAACGTACTTCATCCCAACCTTTTAGTCAGCAGCTAAACTGACAACCCATGCTACCACCAGAGTTCCTTCAACTTTGCGAACCAACCTAAATCCAGTGATGAACACATTACAGAATTCTACCAGTTTCTTCAGTCTGAAATTGCTCAAGCAGGCAATAAAGATGCATTGATATTACTGGTAATTGGAATGTAAAAGCTGGAAACAAAGAGGAAGAATCAGTAGTTGGCAAATGTGGTCTTGCTGATAGAAACAAAGCTGGAACTGGCCTGATAGAATTTTGCAAGACCTGTGATTTCTTCTTTGCAAACACTATTATTTCAAACAAAGTACATGGTGACTATATACATGGACCTCACCAAATGGAGTACTCAAAAATCAAATTGAATACATATGTTGAAAAAGTGATAGAGAAGCGTAATGCCATCTGTCAAAACAAAGCCAGAGACCAACTGTGGAGCAGACCATCAATTGCTCATGTGCAAGTCCATGTCAAAGCTGAAGAAAAAGGAACCAAGTCTATGAGAGTCAAAACACAGCCTTGATTATATCCCACCTGATTGATGAAACATCACAAGACAGAGCTGACTCATTGAACAAATACCCAATGAAGTGTGAAATGATAAAGAATATCACACAGGCATAAAATAAAGAGATAATTAAAAAAACAAGAAAGACAAAGTAAAGTGAGTGTCAGAAGAGGCCATGAAACTGTCTCTTGAATGTAGAGTATCTAAAGATAAAGGAAGAAATTACTAAATAAAAGAGCTGAACAGAAGATTTCAAAGAGCAGCTTGAGAAGACAAAGTAAAATATTATAAAGAAAGATGTCCATTGCAGGCTGCGGGTGACTTCCAGGCAATGTGGCCAGCTTCTAGCTCAAGTTACAAGAAACAGAGGTCCGATTATGAGCCAAATGCAAAATCCAGATTCAGCAAAGAGCAAGTGAATTTTATTGAAGCATACACATATATTGGAAGCAGACTATATCCCTAAAGAAACTCCCTTTAAATTGATTAGCTGCTCATAGCAGATTTCATCACGAAAGTGATTAAGTATATCAGATCCCTTCATGTGGGATGACTACATCATAAATGCCAAACCATTGAGCATAATGGCCTCGCCACATTGAAACGTAGCTTCAACTATCATATCATTGAACTAGACAATGAATGGTAAGCCAGTATTTCAAATAATGGAACATTAGAATCAAAGTAGTTGCTGTTCAGTTGAGTGCCAGAGGAGAGCTGTGCTCCATAGAGTTTTCAGGGGCCTATTTTTCAGTAATAGAATATCAGGTCATTCTTCCAAGGTACTTATGGATTGACTCAAAGTTCCAATATTTTGCTTAGCATTGAGTGTGTTGACAATGTTCACACACAGGCACTACAATGGAAAACAGTTGTCATTATTGTGAGATGCCTTTGAGTCATTTCTGACCATTACCAACCTCGTATCCAACAAAATGCAACACTCTCCCGTTCTGTGCCACCCTCACAGCTATGATTATATTTAAGCCAACTGTGGCGGCCACTTTGTCGGTCCATCGTGCAGAGGGCCTTCCTCTTTTTCACTGATCCTCCACGTTAGCAAATGTACTGTCCTTCTCTAGGGAGTGGTCTCCCCTGATAACATGTCCAAAGTATGTGACAAAAAGTCCTGTCATCCGCAATTCTAAGGAGCATTCTGGCTGTACTTCTCCCAAGGCAGATTTGTTTGATCTTCTGACAGTCCATGGTATTTTCAATATTCTTCAGCAGCACCATAGTTCAAATGCATGAATTCATCTTCTGTCTCTTCCCCCTTTTCAATGTTCAACTTTCACATGCCTATGAGGCCTTTGGAAATCCCCTGGCTTGGGTCAAGCACACCTTAGTCCTCAAAGGAATATCCTTGCTTTTCAACACTTTCAAAGGGTTTTGTACAGCAGATTTACCCAAAGCCACATGTCATTTTATCTCTTGACTGCTGCTTCCATGAGCATTGATTGTAGAACCAAGCAACAGAGAATCCTTTTCAACTTGGACCTTTTCTCCATTGCTCATGGTGTTACTTATCGGTCCAGCTGTGAGGATTTCGTTCTTCTTTACACTGAGGTATAATCCATAGTGAAGGCTGTAATCCTCCACCATCAGCAAGTGCTTCCAACCCTGCTCACTTTCAGCCGGCAAGGTGGTGTCATCTGCTAATTACAGGTTGTTAATAAGCCTTCCTCTTCATGACTCAGTATTCTGCATATAATCCAGCTTCTCCTATTGCTCCTATGAGGTGAATGAAAATAGCATGATTTGGGTCACGTACACCATAGTTCTCAATGTGACAACCTTGCTCTTTAACACTTTAAAGAGGCCTTGTACAATAGATTTTTTATTTTGTTTTTCATTTCTTCTCTTATCCGGTATTTTTTTAAGTAGGCCTGATATGGGAGAAGGAGGGAAGGCGTGGGTCAGAGACAAGAAGACAAGTCAGTAGAGGTAGCCTACGGAATGGGTGTTAGGGGTGCATCACCAGGGTTGAAAGTACAAGGCGCATGTGCCAAGAGTGGAGGGATGAGCGTCAAGGAGGTTAAGGGTTGGGAGCGCGGGAGAGGGTGGACACTGGACCGGAGGATCACCGGGTGGGGGGTGGGGTGGGGGGAGGAGCTTAGGGCCGGTTTCCGCCGTTGGGTGCTGCGTGGATCTCGTAGATCTCGTGCAGTGTGCATGAGCGACCCAGGCAGTGGCGGTTGTGGGTTCGAGGGCAGGTGGGATTTCAGGACCAGGTGGCCCAAGTGGTCATGGCCGCACAGACTTGGAGCGGTTGGGTGAGTGTCTCGGGCGTCCTGCCTGGCAGCCTCCGCGTCCCACGCCTCTGTCCTGTTGGTCTTGCACCGCTGAGGGCTCGAACTTCAAGTGCTGCAAACGTTTGCCCACCCAGCTTTGTAAGACTTGTTGAAATTTAGGTGATTTCTGAAATGCTGAGGAAAAGACTCCCATCCTTCTCACCTAGTACTGTTCTGAAGTCGTTTTAAGAATATAGTCAAATTACATTTCATCATCACTTCAGTTTGTGTATGTATGTGTTGGGTATTAAATTATAGCTTGTGCGGCAGTAATTCTGAAATCGGTCATTTTTATCTCAAGCATCATAACTTTGTTATAGGGTCCCGGTGAGTCGGAACCATGCCTACGGCAATGGTTTAGTTTTTTTGTTTTAAAGGCTAAGGAATCTGGCCGTTTTTCACCCCCTAATTTTAGTAGCTTTAAGAGGAGCTGCATGTTAAACTACGTAAATCTTTACTAGAGTCTGAACTGAACACCATCCACAGTATCGATGGAAAATAAAACTCCCAGACCTTTTTATCCCAAGAACACCCTTCTGCCCTTCCCCATCTTAAACCATTGTTCTAGCCTTGAAAATCGAATGTCATCATTTGAGTATCAATCAATATAGGTAGGTTCTCTCTGATGGATGTCCTTTATATACAAACTGGCTTTGACACTGTACTCCATCTATTTACTCCTTCCTACTCCAACCGTGAGACCAAATGCCGAGTAGAGAGGATGTCCTTGAAGACTACCCACATTATGGTTCTCCACCATTTCATAGGGTACCCTTTTGGGTAGATATCAAGGTT